TCTAGTAGAGTTCAAACACAGAAACTACACAGAAGTCTAGTAGAGTTCAAACACAGAAACTACACAGAAAGTCTAGTAGAGTTCAAACACAGAAGGTCTAATAGAGTTCAAACACAGAAACTATACAGAGAGTCTAATAGAGCTCGAACACAGAAGTTCTAGTAGAGTTCAAACACATTAACTACACAGAGGGCCTATTAGAGTTCAAACACAGAAACTATATAGAAGGTTTAGTAGAGTTCAAACACAGAAACTACACAAAGGGTCTAGTAGAGTTCAAATGCAGAAACTATACAGAAGGTCTAGGAAAGTTGAAACACAGAAACTATATAGAAGGGTCTAGTAGAGTTCAAACACAGAAACTATACAGAAGGTCTAGCACAGTTCAAACACAGAAGCTACATAGAGGGTCTAGTAGAGTTCAAACACTGAAACTACACAGAGGGTCTAGTAAAGTTCAAACGCAGAAACTACACAAAAGGTCTAGTAGAGTTCAAACACAGAAACTATACAGAAGGTCTAGTAGAGTTCAAACACAGAAACTACACAGAGGGTCTAGTAGAGTTCAAACACAGAAACTATACAGAAGGTCTAGGAAAGTTGAAACACAGAAACTATAGAGAAGTTCTAGTAGAGTTCAAACACAGAAACCACACAAAAGGTCTAGTAGAGTTCAAACACAGAAACTACACAGAAGGTCTAGTAGAGTTCAAACACAGAAACTATACAGAAGGTCTAGCACAGTTCAAACACAGAAAATCCAGTAGAGTTGGTTGGTTGTTTGGTGCTTTATGGCGCAAAGCAACGAGGCTATCTGCGCCAAACAACCGGTAAAAGCAATGAAAGTAGATTAAAGTAAAATGTAAAAAAAAAAAACAAAAAAAAAACAGCGAGTTAAAAATCAATAATGTCGGTAAAAGATTTATATAGAATTAAAAAGACGTATAGTGTGTAAAAAATTAAAAATACAATCTAGTCGGACAGTGTCACCATTACCAATGACACTGTCCAGCGTCAGGGGTAAACTTTTAGAAAAAATGTGTCTAAAATGGTGCCGCCACTCACGGTCGTAACGACGGCAAGACAGTAAAATGTGAGCTATTGTGACTTGAGTGTCACAATGGCTACACATTGGTGGGTCAATACCTGATAAAAGTAAACGATGGGTTAAAAACTGTGACCAATGTGTAGCCTTGCCAGAACAACTTCCTCCTTCCTACTTACTGCTATCATGCTAATGGTAACAGTAGAAATGTTACGCAAATTATATATTCATTATTAATGTAAATATATACTAGCATTAACAAATTATAATACAAGCATGTATAAAGATTATGTACGTTATATTGAAAGAATTTTGGAACATCTTGATACTACTTGTTACAGTCCATGATACATCCGGTCATGCTCTGTCTGACAACAATATACCTTGACAATAGTCCTGCAGCATGGATTCCATTGCAAGAGGTTCTGTCGTAAGGTTGCCATGTTCAAATCACACTCCTAATTCTTGATGGCTTTTCGTAATTCATCTAGTATACAAGAACAACGGTATCTTAGCGCCTGTTTAAAAAGTTCGATCACACAGAAATCCATAGGTGCTGCATCCAGTAATATGACCAGTATGGCTTCGTATAAAATAGCATACATACACGTTTATTCTACAGCTGCTTGAGGTTTGCTACAATTGAACGAATATGTAGTGAAAGTAACATGTGTACATGTCGTTTTTTCAGACGGATATCCGCCTTGATTAAGGACGGACGACTTATGCCACTGAATCGTGTCTTCGTGGATTCTCACCCGTTACAAGTCTCTTTATGGACGGTCTTCGTTCCCCACATTGATCCATATTCATTTGTTTTATGACGCCATTAAGTACAAGGGATATCTCTAATCTTGGAAACTCTAAATCTCCGATTTGAACTCATCTTTATGACTTGTGTGTATACATATTTTGCTTGAAGTTACATACCCTTCTCAAAAGCGATCAATTTTCGGTGGCATCGCATTACTTACGAAACGCCAAGTAATATAAATTGTAGTTCTGATACATTCCACAGCGACTGTATATCGGGGGATTTGGATATACAAAAGCGTTTTAATATAACACATATTCAACTTTATTTTACTGTGAGTCCCCAGTAAATCCGAAGGCTTATAACGCTACAAATAGGGGTTCCATACTTGCAGTTGGCACATCATAAATAGTTCATTGTGTGGCTATGTGTTTAATAACAAACAAACAAAATTTTACATCGAACGCCCTATTGAATTTGACACAATTAAAGTTTCCCTCTGTGCCAAGCCAACCATGATGCTGAAGTAAATGAGCACATTTGGACTGGTTCGCTTTACATTAAGCACGAACCACACGCATAAATATCTAATGCATGTGTAAGTACTGTAAATGAATGAATATCTAATAAATAATTAACTAAGCTATAATCCGCACTATTGAATATAAAGGTTATAAATGGACGAAAGCGGAATAAAGAACACAACATAATATACAAATGAGGATTAGTAATAATCAGCTCACATCTAATGCACAGGCTACTAGTCATGCAGGTTGTTTCATCATAATTATTTTCATTTAGATTCCACGTAGCAAGTGATTGCTTGAAGTATGGAAATTAGTAACTTATTTTATCCATTCTTCACATGAGTTGAGTGTTTAATTAAATTCAAACTTGTAGAACCAAAAACCCCAAAAACGTTAACCTCAATCACACTTTTGTTGAATAAATTTCAATTCAACGTTCAAGAGAAAGAAATAACATAACAAAATAAAGTAATAATATGATTATATTATCAACTATAGTTACTTCCCACCCTATAACATGAACTACGAGTAGTCTTATATTATCCAACCTGCTAGATGTTATTCCCAAACGTAGAAACATAAATTAGATGAACTTGCGCAGGGTCCCAGAAAGTATGTTCCAAGAATAAATAAAACCAAAATTAAGAGTAACAAATATTCTCATTTCTTGCTTTTGAAGTTCATATGTCGTGTTGTGTTGTGTTGTAGCCTACAGAGTGTATAATTCTTCTCGTGATTCATGGCATGCGCACATTTTACTGACGTCATGACCGTACAAATTGTAACTTTAAGTGTCCCTTATGTGACGTCATTTAGTGTCCACTAACTAACTGACAAAAAAACACACTACTGTATAATGGTGCGTGTGGTTAAAGCAGATGATCCCTCCAGGCGGCTTTCGCCCCCTTTCAGGGAAATTTATATATGAAAGTATCAGGTCGTCAAGAAATTAATGTCGCTTTTTTTAGATGAAAAAAACCCGAACAACTTATATATCAAAACAAAACACTTATT